GCATTCCAGTGTATCTAATATTCATGCAAAATTGCAATAACCGTTTTTTACCTACAAAAGGTAAATGCAGAAGAGTCGAGAAGAGCTTTCACGCTCTCTATTGATACCGTTACTCGTCACGTGATGACTAGAGTTCAGCTCACAAAACAGTTACTTTTCAAGGACTGCAACAATGACCTTGTACTTAATTCTTCACAACTAAAAGAAATCGAGATTTGTTTTTTTACCTGCATAATTCTAAACTGCACTGATCTTGTGCAGTTGTTCATTCACACTTTTACAATCGGCGTATCTTAATTCCTACATAAAATGCGTTGTCAAACATTGTAAAGAACAACTTTCCTTATAACTAAGTGATCCTAGACAATAAACTCAACTCAAAGTTATGAATTATACAGGTAAACTCTTAGTTTGAAGAAAGAAAAATCTTCTAAGATTAAAATATCTGAGTTTTAAGGGAAAATATTAGGATGAATATATGACAGCAACAATGAGTATATTAAATTGACAAAGCAATGTGCTGCACAAGTTACATTCGCACTATTGTGCATGCATGTAAAGATACATGTACGTGCAAGTGCCTTTATTGCTTACAAGCAGAAGATTTCTACTTGTAAATATTATCCCACCACCACCCTCTACAAATCTTGAATTTATACTTTTCTCTCAAAGGCTTAGCTGTATTGTTTGGAAATTTGCATAAAGATAACTCTGGATATATTAAAATGATCTCCCTTTGAACGACGTAAGTACAACCATCATTGGATTGAACTAATGCGACGCCTCAGTGAGGAGATGACAAAAATATTTTGCATGCAAGACAAATACTGTATAAATCTTTAAAAAGAACTTAATCTTAAATCCTTCTTTAAAAAAGACATATTTGGTACTTTATTCTTCCTGGAATAAAAATCAATTGTATTAGACATTTACTGTTTTTTATGCATTTCTGATTTTTTAAATAGTACATTGTCAGTAATGGGAAACAATTTAAATTTTTAAAACACATTTTAGTAACGCCGAGTCAAAAATCTTCTTTTCCAAAAGAAGAAAAAAAAAGAAAAGATTTTCAAACTAGTCAAAAATAATATGAAATTTGATATATATTGTGGATTGCTGATATGCAATGAACTCTTCTCTCTTTCTCTCTCTCTCCCTCTCTCTCTGCATACTCTCGAAACTTTTCTTTGTACTCATTAATTGAAAGTATTTTTAAAAAGAGATTTAAAGGTCATGATTTTTTTAATTAATATAATCCGATTATCAATAAACTGAACTACTTACTACTACATTTATTTGCATAAATTGAATAAATTTGTTCTAGAATTCTCAAGTAATATCCCTTTGAATGGTGCATAAATTGAATGCAGTGCATTCCAGTGTATCTAATATTCATGCAAAATTGCAATAACCGTTTTTTACCTACAAAAGGTAAATGCAGAAGAGTCGAGAAGAGCTTTCACGCTCTCTATTGATACCGTTACTCGTCACGTGATGACTAGAGTTCAGCTCACAAAACAGTTACTTTTCAAGGACTGCAACAATGACCTTGTACTTAATTCTTCACAACTAAAAGAAATCGAGATTTGTTTTTTTACCTGCATAATTCTAAACTGCACTGATCTTGTGCAGTTGTTCATTCACACTTTTACAATCGGCGTATCTTAATTCCTACATGAAATGCGTTGTCAAACATTGTAAAGAACAACTTTCCTTATAACTAAGTGATCCTAGACAATAAACTCAACTCAAAGTTATGAATTATACAGGTAAACTCTTAGTTTGAAGAAAGAAAAATCTTCTAAGATTAAAATATCTGAGTTTTAAGGGAAAATATTAGGATGAATATATGACAGCAACAATGAGTATATTAAATTGACAAAGCAATCTGCTGCACAAGTTACATTCGCACTATTGTGCATGCATGTAAAGATACATGTACGTGCAAGTGCCTTTATTGCTTACAAGCAGAAGATTTCTACTTGTAAATATTATCCCACCACCACCCTCTAGAAATCTTGAATTTATACTTTTCTCTCAAAGGCTTAGCTGTATTGTTTGGAAATTTGCATAAAGATAACTCTGGATATATTAAAATGATCTCCCTTTGAACGACGTAAGTACAACCATCATTGGATTGAACTAATGCGACGCCTCAGTGAGGAGATGACAAAAATATTTTGCATGCAAGACAAATCACTGTATAAATCTTTAAAAAGAACTTAATCTTAAATCCTTCTTTAAAAAAGACATATTTGGTACTTTATTCTTCCTGGAATAAAAATCAATTGTATTAGATATTTACTGTTTTTTATGCATTTCTATTTTTTTAAATAGTACATTGTCAGTAATGGGAAACAATTTAAATTTTTAAAACACATTTTAGTAACGCCGAGTCAAAAATCTTCTTTTCCATAAGAAAAAAAAAGAAAAGATTTTCAAACTAGTCAAAAATAATACGAAATTTGATATATATTGTGGATTGCTGATATGCAATGAACTCTTCTCTCTTTCTCCCTCTCTCTCTGCATACTCTCGTAACTTTTCTTTGTACTCATTAATTGAAAGTATTTTTAAAAAGAGATTTAAAGGTCATGATTTTTTTAATTAATATAATCCGATTATCAATAAACTGAACCAATTACTACTACATTTATTTGCATAAATTGAATAAATTTGTTCTAGAATTCTCAAGTAATATCCCTTTGAATGGTGCATAAATTGAATGCAGTGCATTCCAGTGTATCTAATATTCATGCAAAATTGCAATAACCGTTTTTACCTACAAAAGGTAAATGCATAAGAGTCGAGAAGAGCTTTCACGCTTTCTATTGATACCGTTACTCGTCACGTGATGACTAGAGTTCAGCTCACAAAACAGTTACTTTTCAAGGACTGCAACAATGACCTTGTACTTAATTCTTCACAACCAAAAGAAATCGGGATTTGTGTTTTTTTTACCTGCATAATTCTAAACTGCACTGATCTTGTGCAGTTTTTCATTCACACTTTTACAATCGGCGTATCTTAATTCCTACATAAAATGCGTTGTCAAACATTGTAAAGAACAACTTTCCTTATAACTAAGTGATCCTAGACAATAACCTCAACTCAAAGTTCTGAATTATACAGGTAAACTCTTAGTTTGAAGAAAGAAAAATCTTCTAAGATTAAAATATCTGAGTTTTAAGGGAAAATATTAGGATGAATATATGACAGCAACAATGAGTATATTAAATTGACAAAGCAATGTGCTGCACAAGTTACATTCGCACTATTGTGCATGCATGTAAAGATACATGTACGTGCAAGTGCCTTTATTGCTTACAAGCAGAAGATTTCTACTTGTAAATATTATCCCACCACCACCCTCTAGAAATCTTGAATTTATACTTTTCTCTCAAAGGCTTAGCTGTATTGTTTGGAAATTTGCATAAAGATAACTCTGGATATATTAAAATGATCTCCCTTTGAACGACGTAAGTACAACCATCATTGGATTGAACTAATGCGACGCCTCAGTGAGGAGATGACAAAAATATTTTGCATGCAAGACAAATACTGTATAAATCTTTAAAAAGTACTTAATCTTAAATCCTTCTTTGATAGCGGTGAACGGTTACTGGTCACTTGATGACTTGAGTTCAGTTCACAAAACCGTTACTTTCAAAGACTACAACAATGATCTTAGATAAGTTTGTATTAAATTCTTCACAACAGAAAGAAATCGGGAACTTTTTTGATGTGTATAGTTTTTTTTTTAACTGCATTGAGTATGTGCAATTTTCCTCTCACAGCTTTGCATTGGCAAACATTGTAAAGAATAAGTTTTCTTAAAACTATTTTGATCCTAGACAATTAACTCAGTCACAATTGTGATTTATACAGGTAAAACTTTAGTTTGAAGAAAGAAAAATATCTTAAGATTTAAGTCAAAAGAATTTGCTCAATATGTGAAACTTAAAATGAGTACGACTAATTTGATGAAGCGCATTTGCTACACAGGTTACACTTGCAGTACTATGCATGTACGTGCAGGTACATATAGCTGCATATGCTTTATTGTCTGAAAGAAACAGCCGATTCCAGTTTGTAAATAACCTTGATACATAGTATCCCTCCACCACTATCTAGAAATCTCGAATTTATACTATTCTCTCAAATGCTCGGCTCTTTTGTTGTGAAATTTGAATAAGGTAACTCTGGATGTACTCAAATGATCTCCCTTTGAACAACGTCAGTATACAACGATCATTAGAATAAAGATGATGTTATTAATGCAAGGGCCAAGTGACGAGATGACGAGAGTTCTTCTTGCAAAACAAATACAGTAGGACAGCAAAATTAACCTCATATTAAACCTTTTATAACAGTTAGAGATATAGTACGTAGTTTATTTTTTATGAAAAAAAATCAATTCTGTTGGAGATTTACTGTTAAAGAATTTCAGTTTTTACAGAAAGTACATTTTCCAGAAAGCTAAACAAACTGATTTGTAAGAAAAGCAAAACATTTTGGATACACTCAGTGAGAAATGTTGTTTTCAATAATAAGTTCTTCAAACTATTAAATCAAAAATAATATATGGATGTTTATTGTGAATCGTTGATATATATTGAACTCTCTCTCTGGGTCTCTCTCTCTCTCTGTGGAAATTTTGCCTTGTATAAAAAAAATTTAAATTATGTATGTGCCAAAATTAAAACAATTTGTTCTAAAATGAACATGACAGATCTCAAGTGATCTTTCTTCGAATGACGTTCACAACAATGCACAATGCAGCATTAGAGTCTTGGCCTTGACCATAACTGGAACTTCTGGAACCCATATCATTGACATAAATTTTGATTTAGAATTGAGTTAAAATATTTAAATTCTAAATTTTCAAATTTTAAGTCATTTTAGAAATACAAGGACCCTGAACCGTACTTGTGAGCGAAAAAAAAGGACAACCGGAAAACGAACAGTTTTGTTTTGTTTTTTAGTAACGTGACAATGCTTCCTACTTTGATTTTTTGTTACAAAAGTCAAAAGATCTTGCAAATGTAGCTTGTTTACAAACTACAAGTACCTTGTAAGGATGTCTGAAGTTGCATCGGTAGTAGGCGAAAATGAACAAGCACCAAAGGTTTGGGGTTTTTTTTGCTAATTAACCTTTTTTTAAAATGCATTAATCGTACCTCTCATCGTGGACAGGTGGACTCTTGATATTCTGGTGTATTGTATTTTCGACCTATTTAGATGTTATTTATTGATTTATTGCAAGCTTTAAAAAATCGAATAAAATAAAGGCTTACGAGGATAGTATATGTGTCTGTTAATAAAATAATATAACCCAAATTGCAGTTTTCTGTTTATTTATATGCCATAATATGAGGAGGGTGCGGTTTTCCATACAAAAATAATAGCGTCTTGTGTTTTCGACCTAAATGAAGTATGGACTCCCAGATAGTATTGGCTGTAAATATCTGTAGGATATTCCAGACAATAAAAATAATATGTTGACGGTGCGACCGTTGGGGCGAGCGCATTGTTCACTTAATTTTAAGATCCGCCTTTTCAAACCGCCTGAGACATTTGGAACTTCTAGACTGTGAGGTCACATGACGTCGTATGTTAGCTGCATTTTCATATATGAAGTTTGAAAAGTGCAAAAAATTTAACAAAGAATGTTTAATCTACTATCTGTATGCAATATCCATTAAATTAAGGTGAGTTTATTTTTTTGTGAATTTTTAGTTGTTGTTACCGCACGAATGAAGTTAACAGCGAGATCAACAAGCAATGCATTGTGGGTCCAGAATTACTGCGGAAAAAAATTCTATTGAATGAATGTGCAGTTGTCCGAATTTTCTCTTCGCCCAGGCATTGTCGTTAGAGCTCGCTGTGACGAGCGTCGCTTTGCGCCGCTCGTTGGCTCGCTATGATTGTCTCTCTTTCATAAAAATACTTAACATGTTGCTTACTTTGGTTGTAGAGAATTTTATTCATTGGCTGTACCCTTCCGTCAGTAGCTGTGCATTTCCAAAAAAATTCAATGAAATTACATTGCATTTTTCAATGAAAACCTATAAGAAAATGCCCATATCTAAGGAAAAAAATTTGTTTGATCCACCCATTAATTTTAATATTCATGCATCTTTGTGACAGAGATCTTAAATTTCTTTCGGTAAAATATTATCAGAAAATCTTTGTAATCAAATGATAACCGCTTTGATATTTTTCCAAGTGCAGCAGCCAAAAATAATGTTGTACCGCATGGTATCTGCACAGGAAGCAGATTGGGAAAAATAGGTCGAAAATACATTACAGTCGAAAACAGGATACGAGATGATAAGTCATGTCCATTTATATACATCTCTGATTTAATCAGTCTAAGATATTTCTTACAATTGTGCATGATTATTCATTGTTTTTTTTGTGGACACAACATTGCTTTCTGAACGTGTACTATGAAGATGGTGTGAAGTTATTTCTATCTTATTTGACCTACTTTCTCTGCTCTGAGGACAGAACAGAACAGAAAATGTACTGAATAGTTAATGTAGAATCTGGATGGTTTCTCCCCATTACCTGTTTGCTCTGAGTGGATTTGCCCTGCACAGTTTTCTTCAAACTATGGTTTATATTTGAAATAAATTCATCTATGGTTATATTGTAAAATACCGGTAAATAAGTTTTGTTTGATTGTTACAATTTTATTCCAACAATCTCATCTGTTTCTGAAATTTTGAAAAAATATTTACTTTATTAAACTCTGTAGATCGCTTTTAAATAAATAGGGATGTAATAATAAACTTTTGACAGAGAACACACGTAAAAACCACTTTGGCGATTTGTCATAGCAAACTGCCAAAATCCACACATGCTAAACTTTGACTTCTTTAATTACATGTAACAAGTATACATGTAATGAGGCAAAACCACTCGAGGCAAACATGTAATCGGGGTGAAACCACCTATTACCGTTGATGAATGATTATTGCTCTAAACTGTGTCACATGTAAATCACACAAGGTATACATACTAAGTTATGTGCAGTATTCAGTTTGTATAAACAGATATTATGATACTGGCATTGATTATGAACCTGCAACAATGTGCAATGCCAACAAATATATTAATATTTTTTCTTCTATTTATGTTCCTTTTCAAATCAAGATAATCAGGTTGAGTTTTAGATCAGATAGGTACTCTAGTATGAAGATGGTATTTAAATGCTAATATGGACCATTCTTTACCCCTAGGTAGTTAAGTTAGCATTTAACCTAATTTAATGACTGTTTTATCACTTAGATATCATGTAATTTTATCATGACATCATTAGATTTACATTGAACTAAAGGCATAAAATGCAAGTTTTTTGAAGAAGGAAAACAACTGTGGGCAGTAGTTATAAATTTTATAAATACTGCACATAGGGATATTTTTAGCCTCATATGTTATTTTGCTCCATCACCAATTTTGCCCCATTTAAAATCACACAGACACAGTTGTTTTAAAAGAAAAAAATTATTTTCATTGAATTCATCTATACAATATATGCATGTATGTGTATTTAGAAATGTTAAAATCTGAATTCATTGGTAAAAAAAAAAGCTGCACATCTTCTAGCACAATATATAATATTGACATTTTACATGCATACATCTGGCATGTTTAGAATTTTATAAAGATTTCTTTCCTTTTTAGAGAAAAAGAATAGTGCTGTTTGGAATTGATGCAAATACTATACCATACATGAAAGTTTCTTTAAGGAATTCCCTAATTGGATTATTTTCTACAACTTTGGGATACTTTCTTTTCACAAGTAAGTCAAATGACACAAAACAATGTGTATTATTCTGTATTAATTTCAAAGAAGAGGCCTATGGACCATGCTGCTTACTTAAACACCAAACCCCAATACAATTATTATACCCCAAGGAAACAAAGTTTAGGGAGATGGATATATCAGAATCAACTTGTCTGTCCATCTGTCTGTACGAGGGTTGTTAGAAAAGTTCGCGGTCACACTGATTTATGGAAAATTTATTGTGTTGTTAGAAGAATGATATATGTCTGATTAAATTCTTATCTTTTGTTTATTAGTATGTAAAAAATCAGGTCCATTTACTAAAATTTTGAAAACATACAATGATTTTTAACGTGCGGTAATAGGGTTCATGGAGCAATCACTTGAAGTTTTTTTGACGTTATGTGACGCGATAAGATGTTCATAACTTGATGTTCATATGACCATTTGACCCCTTATTATTTCATTGTTACATCAATGAGTCAATATGTTACATCTTCAGTGGTATCACTGAATGAAAGACCTATAACTCTGAAGATTGAAATAAAAATAAATCAAATATCACATGAAATTTCCTCTTTTAATTTCAGGTAATTTACGTAAAGGAGTGCGGATAGGATCACTTGCTTTCATTGGTACTTATTTTGGAACCACGTAAGTTTTCAATTTTATATCCATTTTAGCTTATCTTTATTACCCAAGTTTTTTATAATTAAAATGTTTTTAATCAGAAAACTTAAATATTGAGGGTAGGTTTCATATTTAATGCTTCAATGAGCATATTCAGAAGTCATAAGAAGGAACACATGTACAGTAAAACTTGGTTATAAGGAAGTCACTGGGACCTCAAATTTTGCTTCCTTATAGATTCTTTATATTTGTAAAATGAATATACAGTGAAACTTGTCTATTCTGATGTTGTGTATTCTGAAATCTTGCCTAACATGATGTTACTTCAAGTCCCTTTTAGCAATTTCAATTGTTTAATTTAAAAACATTGTCTAATCTGGAATATTGTTTAATCTGGCCAATTTCTTTGAAACCAGCAGTGGCTGGATTAGACAAGTTTTACTGTAGTAAAAAATCTTGTACGGGATTCAATAAAAGTTCTTTATAACCGAGATTTCCTTATATGCGAGTTCTTTATGACCGAGTTTTACTATATATATACTTTTAAGCATTATATTGAAGTGTTCACTGTCACCTTTGGTACTGAAAACACTTGAATTGTATTGAACATTTGTTGTTTCTGAATTATACCTCCTTAAAGAGATCTTTTCTTTCTTACAGGTTTTATCTAGGTTACAAAGATTATAACCGATATTTACGGACAGTGGAAAAAATTAAAAACAATGAAGTGTTATATACTGATGGCTCGCTTTCATTGGACGATTCTGATTGAATTTTAATGGACGTGATCATATTTTTAACAATGAATATAGTGGAATAAAGATATTAATGACTGCTATAACATTTTTTTCTTTTTTTAAAATCTTCCTTTGATGTGTGATATAAAGATCCAGGCAGTGTTATTTGTTTTTAGTCTGTCATTTGGTCATTCTTTCATGCCATCATTCTGTCATAGTTAGTTTTCCAGACTTTTTTTTTTACTCTGGATTTAGATACAAAGCTAATTTTTGCTCTTCACATGGATGACTTAAATTACAGGTTGAATTCAAGTTTCCTGTTGATTGACCTCTTTTTTCCCAGACTTTGAGAATTTGTAATCATTCACTTTTATTTTTTAATATTTTTGGGTGTGTTTGTAGAAATGAGCTAACTTTTTATATGTATCTTTATAGTTATGGCTTGCTTTTTGGTTTCAAATTGATTGACCTATTTTCACCAAAGTTACTGCCATCAGATTTGTTGCTGGTAACATAGAGTTTCACTTTTATTTAAATTGACCAACTTTCTTCAGTTATCACCTGGAGATATTTGTATTCAAAATTCTCTGCTCTTGAATACTCCAATGACTCACTAGATTTTACTACCACAGTAGCATCACAGAAGACCTACTTCATTTAATCATAGTATTCACACATTTACAAAAAACAAATTAGGATTTTTTTTAAGCGATTAAATTGTTAAATCCACAAATGTATATCATATATATTTAAATAATTTATTATAGTGTCTCAAATTATGTAAATTTTATACACAATTAAGTTAATTTTTACAGTAGATATTGTACCACATCTAAACATGCAAAGTCTGTACACATAGGCATAGAACAAGTAACAATTGCAGTGTGGTGGTTTCAAAATACTGTTTGATTTAATATGGATGCATTTCAACCTACACATAAGAACAATTTACCCTGGACTGTGTTGTAAATAAATATAAATTGCCCTGTAAGAGTTTTCCCCCCCAATTAAACTAGATATAGTAAGTATAAATATCATACACACAAAAAATGTATATATTCATGGTTGGAAATCCAAGAGACCAGAAGTCAAAAGAAACATTACAACAAATAAAGAAATGGTCTTCTGTGACAACATTTAAACATCACTGGTGATGAGTTCAAGAAATTTAATGTCCATAACCTCATTTCCATTGGTTCAAAGTTTAGCAATTTAATAAAAATATAAAACAAGCCATAGTATGAGGAGCTAGATTGTGAGAAAAAATATATGTAAATCAAATCCAAAAAAAGAACAAAGTACATGCCAATTTTTTTTTTCAAATGGCATTAAAATCAAACACAGAATTCTGATAGTTTGTAATTAAGAAACTAAAATAGTGAAAGTGGTAGATGAGAAAACAATTTTCCGAATTTCCTCACCTTGATGAGTTTTTAGCATACTGAGATTTTATATTGTATAAAACATACTGTTCTCTTTCTGAAGTAAATGTAAATGAACATGAAAAATCTTTAAAATTAAGGAAATTTTGAAACATTAATCTGTGACTTTCCTGTGACTTTTTGGAACATGCATAATTACAAATTTCATTTTTGAACCACTGCATTTCTCAGTCATCAAGGAAGGGAGACAAAAAGAATTCTTAACCTACAAGTACCTTGTTCTCTGTAAGCTACCATTAAAGGGTTAGATTTAGATCTCAGATTCAGTATCTTAAAAAAACACAGATCATTATGTACATCTAAATTTCTATAGAATTTGTAAAGAGTATATCAAAAAACTGTAAAATTGTCCATTTTTCATGACTTCTTTGTTTCATTGTTATAGATACACACTATTATTTTTTAAGTACAGATGCTTAAAATTTAATACCATGATTGAAAAATTCCGATATGTACAGTACTAATCAAGTAATTTGCATATTATGCATACACAAGTAATCTGTTCAAATAGGGCGGTTCAATATAAAGCATTTGATGCAAGAAAAATGCATAGTGGAATAAATTATTTGCATAAAAAGGTAGCTTAATTAAAGGGGAATTAAAGCACCACACAACCAGTGTGTAAATTGAGAAAAAAAAAAATAAATTGTATATTTATCACATGGCACAAGCAGATGTACTATTTAAAGAATAATTCAACAAATGATTATAAATAAATAAAGCATTAGATTGTGTATATTTCAGATTTACATGTAGCTGCAAAATTTAAAGTCATAAATTAATAGCATACATTTTAGTTCATTACTTCTGCAAAATTTGATTTGCAACTGATTGAACTGCATACTAATAAAAAAAATAGTATTTTTAAAAATAAAATTGATTTGAGTATCCACAAAATACAATTAACATTTTCAAAAAATTAACACAAAATGAAAAAAAAAATGAACACAATGAAAATACCAAAAATTTGTTTGGAATGCATTATTCAATATCTTTTACATAAAACACATACATTTATTAATAAAAAAAAAATTTAAAGGTACATTTACATATCAAAAGTTTGATATATGGCCCTGTCAATGTACAGTTACCTATCAATTGACATTACCCTGGTATATCAAAATTCTATAATAAAGAACAGATTTTCTGCTTTCATTTTCAATCATAAAGTCTCCACCAAAAGTTCAGTTACTGGAAAACAGGACTAGTGGGTTCAATTAATATCTTAGGTATTTTTCAGAAAAATAGACCAATCTTAAATTTTGCACTGCTCAATCAGATCACTCATGCTTCTAATCATTCTTCTTAAATGTCCCAGGAGTTCAGCCACTTTAATCCTGCTATATTGCTTCCTTCTTCGTGGGCCATTGGACCATCCATACCATATGTCAATGGAGAAAATAGGTAAAAGCTGCAACAAAAATTAGAAACAAATGTGTAAATTTAAGTGTACCATAAACCATGAAAATGAATCTAAACTATCAACAAAATGTACATGTAGATATATTATTCATTCATAATCAGTGAACTGCAGGTATTAATTCATTATAATCTGATTTCATATAATTTACATAAAAAGTGTAACCTAGCAACACAAAATTAATCATTATTCCCATTGTTTAAAACATATTTCAACAATATCTTCTACATTTGACCTAATTCGTACCTAAGTAGAAGTCCTGATATCAGAGATCCCACAATAATGTGGAACACTGTCCCTGCCAGGCTCTCTGGGCCCAAGGTCATCAGTAAAATCACTGTGTGGTCCAGGATCACTCCTGTAAAATACCGTACCAAAATCTTAGTCCCAATAACTAGAGTAGTCCTGAACATGAATGATATTCCCTTCCAGGACACAATCAAAGCATGGATCTCAATAAGTATCCACAGATTAACCATGTCAGCTAGTTTGGTCTGGATAGAAGAAAGAAGCTAGAAAAATGATCTAAAAGCTGAACTTAACCTTGCATCTACAGACAAACAGCTGGATTAACAGACAGGAGAATAGACCAATATACCCTCCAACAACTTTTTGTGGGAAGTGTAATTATAAATGCAAACTGATTATGCATGTGGATTATGATATTAAATTAGTGAAAAATACTTAAAAACTAATGAGTAAAACTTCAATAAAAATAAAATGATTAATACTTTTAATATTTTTAACAATTTTAACAATTATTCCACAAAGCAGAACAACCCTCTTGAAATGGGACATAAGTCTTTTAAGAGCAGGTACATGTAAGCACAGGTCCATATTCTTCAACTTCACTGCTAAATGAATATCAAACATTTGCCAGACTAAGACACCCTGCTTATATATTGTTGTACCTGTTAACATGGCACTGAAGAGGAAGGCCGGGAAGTAGTGGTGGAAGTAAAGTACTCTAGTCATTGGCCAGAAGGGGAGATAATGCAGAGCCCACCCCAGGAGGAGCCACCAGCAGGCTGCCAGCATGTTCTCCTTGTGATCTGGAAGAAAAAGTACTTTTAAATTCTTGCACAAGTTTTTTTTAATTACTTTTAATACTCATTTATAAATATGAAAAAAGACTAAAAATGTTGAAGAGTCTTTGTTTAATTTAATTGTGTCTGTTCAATTCACATACTTCTCCAGATTTTATTTTCACTATGTCCCCTCTGTGCTTTTATTGAGTGAGCCAAAAAGTAAACAATAAACAATGCATGGGCCACCAGACATCCCCAGAAAATGACAGGGTTCCCCAACAGGTAAATTCTGTGGTCCTTCCCTGAGAAAATCTGTCCCTGCAATAATATTTTGAAGTATTACAAACTTAAAAAATAACATATGATAAATGAACTGTGGCTATAGAACTTGTCCTTTTCATGTTTCAAAACTTACCCCATATTTTAGAGAAGGCACCCTGTAATCTATAAATTTTATAATCTATAGGTAAACCATTGATAAAACTTACCCTGTAATCTATGGGCCATTGCCAAGGCCTGGAGGTTATTTCCCCTTCTCTTGGCTTCAATCCACTGTTTCCCTGACAACAAAAATCCCAGTGAATTTCTACTAACTAATGTGATTATTGTGGAAAACATCAACCAAAAATTCAAATGAAATAAAAATCATAAATTTTAAAGAACACATTAGTTAAATCTATTGACTTCTTATCCTGATGCTTTACTGAATACAACAAAAGTATAAAACAAAATCTACAGAAAACCAGAAGTCTCTGATGAGACTGTAGCTCTACTGGTCTGTACTTATAACAAAAGAAAAGTTGCACTTGGATTAAACTTTGCAACACGCAGCAAACATTAAGAATTATGTATCTTAGTGTAGTCTACTCGTGTGCCAAGTTTTATTGAAATCAAACAAAAACTGTAGGAGGAGTAGCATTTTGAAAGTATTTCACCAGAAATTTCTATTTTGAGTAACCATGGCAACACCATTCACTGAAATCAAAAACCAATATACATTATTATATAACGTAGTGTAGTCTAATTGTGTGCCAATTAGATTGAAATCAGATGAAAACTGTAGCAGGAGTAATTTTTAAAGGAATTTTACAGAAATTTCTATTTTTAGTAACCATGGCAACACCATTTATTGAAATCAAAAACCGATGCACTAAATTATGTATCTTAGTGTAGTCTACTCATGTGCCAAGTTATATTGAAATCAGACAAAAACTGTAGGAGAAGTAGCGTTTTAAAGGAATTTCACAGAAATTTTTATTTCTAGTAACCATTGCAACAACATTCATCAAAATCAAAAACCTATGCACTAAATTATGTATCTTAGTGTAGTCTACTTGTGTGCCAAGTTATACTGAAATCAGACCAAAACTGTAGGAAAAGTAGCGTTTTAAAGGAATTTCACAGAAATTTCTATTTTTAGTAACCATGGCAACACCGTTCACCAAAATCAAAAACCGATGCACTAAATTATGTATCTTAGTGTAGTCTACTTGTGTGCCAAGTTATACTGAAATCAGACCAAAACTGTAGGAAAAGTAGCGTTTTAAAGGAATTTCACAGAAATTTCTATTTTTAGTAACCATGGCAACACCGTTCACCAAAATCAAAAACCGATGCACTAAATTATGTATCTTAGTGTAGTCTACTTCTGTGCCAAGTTATATTGAAATCAGACCAAAACTGTTGGAGGAGTAGTGTTTTAAAGGAATTTCACAGAAATTTCTATTTTTAGTAACCATGGCAACACCGTTCATCAAAATCAAAAACCGATGCACTAAATTATGTATCTTAGTGTAGTCTACTTGTGTGCCAAGTTATATTGAAATCAGACCAAAACTGTTGGAGGAGTAGTGTTTTAAAGGAATTTCACAGAAATTTCTATTTTTAGTAACCATGGCAACACCGTTCATCGAAATCAAAAACCGATGCACTAATTTCTGTATCTTAGTGTAGTCTACATTTGTGCCAAGTTATATTGAAATCAGACCAAAACTGTAGGAGGAGTAGCGTTTTGAAAAATTGTTTACAGACGGACAGACAGACAGACAGCTAGACAGACAGACAGACAGACGGACGCCGGACACCTTACTATCGCATAAGCTCTTCCGGTCTCTGACCAGTACAGCTAAAAACACCAGCATGGAAAAGTACTGTATATAAGTATCAGAATACCTGTGTCATTACTGCATGGCTTTCCATAAATCTCTCCATAAATGAAGGTGAATAAATTTCAAAACTGGCATTTGGTACTAATAAACAGAAATAAAATATCAAAACAATGACTGCCTTTATAAAAAAAACTTAGACTTTCATCACATACAGTTGAACTTTGTTATCTAGAACACTGATGTCTCAAATACCATGGCTATGTCAGAGTGAGTTGGGAGTCCTATCTGACTCTTTCTGTATGTATTTTAACCTTGATATCTCAAATCCTTGGATATGTTGAAGTATTTTTTTTTGGTTTTATAGAGTTTGAGATAATAAGAATTGACTGTATTTGTATCCCTCAACAAGTAGAGCATAAATCAACTTTGAGAACTAATTTCTGAACAAAAAAATAATAAATAACATCACTAACATCTTTTGTCTGTCACTTCTTCTACACTCCACACAGCTTTTGGTTCCCTGATGTTTGGATTACACGTAGCTTCAAGCTGCTCCCAACCCCTACAAAATAAAACATTTTATCAGATTAATCACTTTAATAAAAATATAAATTATACAAATGAACATTGTTCTTAGCTTTATTACAGGGTGTCATTGTTTTGAGCTAAATGCACACAATACACATAAATGAAATTGAAAAATAATTACTTAAGATGTAAAATAAAACAAAATCATAAGGCAATGAATTTTTGTGACTACAGTGCATTTTTCTGACTTTATATCAAGTTACCAGAAAACTGTCATACCATTTTGGGAGTTTCTTATCATGGGAGTGTAGAACACATTTGACATGATAGTGGATAAAACGCAGGCGTGACTTTGCTGTTTGGATGGCGGTACCTGGAGGAGATCCCAATACTTCTACAATCCAGACATCATTAGCATCCCCCGTACCATTCTGTAATGTTAAATACACACATATGGTACAGAGTAATTTAAAACACAAATTTAGCTTATATTTTTCTCTTCTTTTTTTTTAAAATAAAATGCTATCTAAATCTGATTACATTGTCAGTAATAAATGTACTGCATGTTTTTTATATCCAGAGTTTCACACTGCATTTCTTATCCTACATCAGTCTATGTCTTTCACATTTCCAAATGGTATTTAAGCATTAGTCCTTTGGGTCCAATTCATGTTGAAATTCATTTTATTCATGCAATCAAATAAATTATAAGAATAGGTGTCTTAAGAAGACCAAAAGGATTACGTATTCTTTTATTGTTAATGAGTGTTTCTATATAAAGATATAAAAGCTTTAATTACAACAACAGTCTATAACATTACTTACCACACCGTAGCCTGACACCTGGAACTGTCTTTTACTGAGAGGGGCTGGCTCTGCATGACTATGAAGATTTCTTCTGGTTCTATCAAATCAATGGGCAAAATATTTTACAAACAATAAAAATTTTTTATTTAATTAAAAGAAACTTCTTTATCAATGGAAAAGTACTTTTATTTTTTTTTTTATACACATAATTCTATATTACAAATTGGCCATTTATATATTATTTTAACTAAAAAATAGCTTTAGATACAATGTAAAATTCCTACTCTTTGTGTTCCAGCCTGACCAGATCACCAGACACAACCAGCTGAGCCGGGTCTCCTGGTTCTGGTTCTCTGTCAGCCAACTTAATTATCCATTCATTATTGAAGTCCTTATGTGCATATGTGGTTATCTTAAAAATCAAATTTTTATTTAAATCCTAATCTTAATATTTAGCCAGAATATAAAAATATAAGAATATAAAGCAGGACAAAGTTTAACATGAGTCAATGATAAAATGGTTTGGGGCGGTTTGGTGGCTGGTTTTTTGTATGATGTACCTGTTGTTGTCTGGGAGGGTGTTCATCAGGGTACAGGTGCCAGTGGGAGTGGAGATAGCCCCCTCCTGTTCTCCTCTGCTTTAAAGTTATTACACTGCCATAAGCCACATCTATCAAATCCAATAATAAATTGCAAACTCAAGGACCCCCTTTGAAAGTCATTGTAACAGTGTATTTTATTACTTAATTCTATATACTAAGCAGTCATTATCAGTAACAATAGGTTTTCTACACACTAATACTTCTCTCTCTGTAAGAGAATTTAAACACAACAGCATGTTTAATGTATAAAGCTTCTGTCACTTATACTTACTTTCTGGCATGCTAACATTGTACAATCTGTTGCCAATCAGCTGTGACTGAAATGCCGAGCTGTAAAATCCATCTCCATTGCCACTGTAATACAAAAATTTATATCATTTCATGCTTGTACTTATAATCTTTTAAAACTTTTATTTTAAAAAACCATTAAAAAATTTTCTTTCTGAAACAGTTAATCATTGTGATGGCATGATATGAGACAAACAAATAGACCAATATACACCCACTTACTTTTGATGTTGCGGACATAAAAGAATATAAAAACACTACACAGAAATGAAAAACAAAGATGTCAGATATCATGACCTGCTGCTACTAACCTGTGATTCAGAATTTTGAGATGGATGGCAAATATTGCAATATACATTAACACAGGTAGTACAATAAGGCACAGTGCTCTAGCAATGAAATGTTTCACAACCGCTGCCTAAAAAAGAAGTAAAAAAAATCACTGCTTCTTGTAAATACATAGTCTATGATGAAATTTAAACAATTGAATGCAGATGTAAGAATTCCTTTCCTTATTTTATTTAATATTTTTCAAAGATTGAAAAAATTTACCATAGAACAGGTTTTGTCTCCTAATATTCTCCATAGGTCATGAATAGTGGACATTCCCACAAATAAAATGATAAATAAACCCACAAACTTTACTCTGAAAAATGAAAATGTTACATTCGTGTATTTTATTCATAAAACATAAATGGATCTACATGTTTTACATATACATGTGCATACATGTATATATAAAACAGTACTAGAAAAGATTGCATTCTGTCATTAAAAATATTGCATTTTTACTGCCTTACACATACAGATTGTACATGTATTTTTTGTGATTGTCCAGTTATATAGGCACATACAAACTTAGTTTATAAAAATTGTAGAAATAATGCAAAATACTTAAATACTCAATCTGTACTACAAGTTCAAAATTTGAATGTTATCCTAAAAGGATAAAATTGTAGATATTTCAGGTTACAGAAATTCTCCTTAAAAATGGACTACATGCTCTCCAGTTTCACTATCAGGGAACTATAAATACCTTATATACTAGGTGCATATGTATTCTAAAATGTCACCTACCCTATTGATGCTGCTAAAAATGTTCCTGTTAAGGCTAACCAAATCCACCAGGGTATCGAAAATGGTCTGTAAAAATACATGTACAATATTCATAACAAAAAAATCTTTCATTAATTTCAGGTATGGTTTCATATATAAAAGACATAGATTGCTCCAGAAAAGATATTTTATAGGAATTCGATAAACTGTCATTATAAGATTTTAAAATGATGGGTAACAATATTTATTTTGTCTACCGGGTAACTGTTGGGTATGATAGGACTTACATATCATATACAGTTGAACTTTGTTATCTCAAACACCGATATCTCGAATACCTGGGATATGTCAAAGTGATTTGGTAGTCCCAACTACTTTTCTTATGTTTTTTACCCCCATTACCCCGAATCCTTGGATATCTCAAAGTTTAATCTTGGCCCTTTAGAGTATGAGATAATGAGGTTTGACTGTAACCAGTTTAACTTTATTCATTAGCCAATTACAATAACATTCCCTGTTGAGGACAGATAACAACAACAGACCTGTTATGATATGAGAGAAATTTAAGTTGACAATAAGTTGACATCATAATGAAGAACATCATTATTGGATCCAGTAAGATGTGTCGAGAAAGAGTCAATGTCCCAACATCTACAAAAATATGGAGAATTAACCATACATTGTGTTGGCATAATTGATGCATAATTACATAATTCTTTTAAAAATCATACTAGAGGAATAAACATAACAAAAACTCACCTAACAAGATCAAAAGTGCTGCAAAAAGTGATGACATGAGAGATTTAGTCAAAAGCCAGACTGACATGTACGCCAGGGGAACTAAAGCAGCTCCCATAATAGCACAACACTGAAATAAAGGCTTGCAATATAAATGTATGTGCATAATAGAAAATTGGCTAAGTATGGCAATGAATGCTTTCTGAAGTCTTATTTTTTTTCACTCATTCATTTTAGCTTACAGGTAGATCTATATAATGCTATTAGGAACAAAAGGAAAACCCATGGCTTATGGCAATAGATACAATTTCATACACCATTACATAATTGTATAATAAAAAATGTCAAGAAAAGTAATCTTTTTTCTTTAAATTTAATTTTTCTGTTCTCTTACCACCCTCATTCCGACATAATTTGTTTCACCATATTCATCACCAGGCTTTCCGAAAGGGAATTCCCCATCATAACCAGTCAAAATACCAAAAAGTCCAACCAGCATCTGCAAGTAAAATATTTTTTCTGTCTTCTGAAATATTCCTGACTCATGCTTGTTCTGAGTGGTTATGGTCGATTACTTCAAAAAAGTCAATCTTCACGTGCAGGAAATATATAGAAAATATTACATACTAAAATCCCCATCATATGTCATATCAGACCAAGTGGCCCTATATCAGCCTAAGGCCCAAGGGCTGATATGGCATATGATACGTATTTTAGTATGTAGTATTCTATTAATCATATATTTAAAATATTAATATGAGTTCACAAAAGGTCATTTAAGAATATTTCGTGCACACACGAGAATATGGCCTTTTTTTTTAATCTAATCGAGCCATTTTGGGGTATTGTGATGTCACCTTTATCACACAGTGTGGGATTTGTGTCATAATAACTAAAACTAATATATATATAATATATTGGTGATATCAATTACTTGTACCTTTCCTAAAGGTGGATGAACATCAAAGAAGAATTCCCTCTTTATGTACCAGCTCCCCATTTTCCCAAAGTGAGTTTCATCCCAACTGAAATTTAAATAGACATGTCTCTAAAATACATAGTACTTATTAAAGTAGTAAGTATTACCAGGCATGTTAATTAAAGTTCAATTCATACACCATATTATTTGTTTTTTTTGATGTACCCCACATTCAGGAGTTATGTGCCATAAAAGTTTAATTGGGAAAAAAAAACATTTCTGATTATGATTCTTTTGAAATTTAAATCAAAATAAAGTGATGATATTGCTACCCTGGGACTAGGGCATAAACAATACACTCCCTTCATGGTATGATGCATGTTGCAATACTTGTGCCACGTACAACTCAATATTCTGAAGACAAAACAAATCATAATGTTGCAGAAAGTCTCTAAAATTACACAATTTTTAATTATAAATTCATTATCTAAAATAGAAAACTACTGGTGATTTTATATCAATAATGGTTCTAATGAATAAAATAGAAAATTTTATGATTAATCAAGTTATAGTTATATTTCAATGATTTATTTATACATACATACTAAAGGGAAAAGTATGTAAAGGTTAATTCACAACCAAGGCATGTTATATAACAAAAGGACAAGTCATGTGATCTCATCATCAGATAAAAATGAAAACCAAATGAAATGCCATTGATTGATGTGTGTAAACATGGTAAGGTGGACCCTATATGAAGTGGGTCACATACCTGAACTATTGAAATGACACAACTTAAACATCTTAATATAGCAATTGACAAAATGCTTCAAAAAGTGGGGTACTAGTACTAAACAGAGAACCCTAGAGAACTCTAGAGAACCTTAGAGAACCCTAATGATTTTGAATTATTAACTGTATTTCAATGACTAATTTATGTTTTCTTATATGTAATGTATCAAATAAAAACAAGACAAAAATTTAAAGATATGTTTTTTTCAGACGTTTTATGTTTATTATCGACGAAATACTAATCTCTGAAGACCGTATATTATACTTTTTGTGATAAAGATAATTAAAATTAATTTCATTTATATGTTTTGCAACAGATTGAATTGTTAACTTAAAAAATAAAATTAGATTAAAAAAAATATATAAAAAGAACTGTAAAATCATGTTATAAAACTAATTATTTCAGTAAACAATGATAAGGAAATTCAATCAGGATCGGGATGACAACAATTATTTTTCCGTCTAATTTTGTTACATTTTTCAGCTGTTTTCAAAGGAAACATTCCTAAAATAGCATTTTTGTTCATTTTATTAATAGAATATGATAAATAAAGTGATTATAAGTTCAATTTTGCAGAATATTTACTTGAATTAATCTAATATAGCCAGAGTTCTCTAGGGTTCTTAAGAGTTCTCTAGGGTTCTCTGTTTAGTAGGACCTCAAAAGTGTATAGGGTTATTGCTTATGGGTCAGGATAATGTTGTTTTACAACGTCACCTTTTTCATTTCTCCCTTGTGCATGTGAAAGTAATACAATAAGGTCAAGCCAGATTTATTTAAGCAAATCTGATTAAAGAAAAGGAACCAAACTAAAAATTGAGATATTGAATTGAACATTGAATTGAGCGTTTGTATTGAACAGGTTGGGACCAATCGCCCAAATGGGATATAATAGCCCGTTTGGGATATAATATCCCAAATGGGATATAAATTTACGATGCAAAAAATTAAAATTTTTATCTAGGCTATAAATATCATAAATCCGCATCAAGATACTTATAAAGGAATAACTTTTGGTTAACAAGTTTTTCTGTATGACTACTGTTTAAGAGATTGATCCCTCGGAAGTTCGTAAACTTCTTGGGGATCAATCTAACAACCCTTAGGGTTGCAGAAAAACTTGCTTGTCAAAAGTTACTTCTTTTAAAGTATTTTGATGCGGATTTATGATATTTATAGCCAAAATAAAAAATTTTCATTTTTTTGCACTGTAAATTTATATCTCATTTGGGATATTCTATCCCAGACGGGTTATTATATCCCATTTGGGCGATTGTTCCCAACCTGTTGAACAGTATCAATATTTTGGTGAATCGTTTCAGCCCTATGTGTGACAACTATAATTATAACTTATCATTAAAGAACCTTGTAAACAAAATATCAAATTATCTCAACCCTATTATCTACTCAACTGAATGGAGTAAGGGTTTTATCTTTTCTGAAAAGCTCTGAAATTCTATAGACATTAACTATCATAAATTTTCATTAACTTCACTTACCAAACATGAGAGGGCTTATCGATGTTGTACAGCCTCGATATTAATGATAAAATAGAAATAGAAAATAATATGGAGTAATACGTTCGGCCACTATCACCAGTAGATAGAGTTTCGCCATCAGAAAGCATAGCCTTTGTAAGTTCGTTTCGTTCGACCTTTTCCTTAAGCTCGTCGTCGTCGTCTTCTTGCATTTCCTTAGCCATGTTTTTTTCGCACTCTATCAAACCTTTTGAAAATTCATTCTTGTTTTCCTCTAATGATAATTTCTTAGTGGCCATTTACTTTTAATAACGCAAACTGTGAAACAGATCATTAATTCATTTTGTTTTAAGTGCCCCGAGGAAATTCGTGTTGTTGACCGGAAGTAAAATGAATTGCTAACTCGTACTCTGAAAATATCAAGAATTAATTTTAAATCGCGGTTGAAATTGGAATATTTTTTTCATTTCTAATAAAATGATAACCTTTAAACATATTCTATCCATAACAGAGACTTTTAAATTGACCTTTTGATGCTAAAGCAACATTGAAATTCTTACGAATTTATAAAGATCAAATTGCCTTTAAAATTAGAAAAAAATGTCAAAAATGTCAACAGTAAGTTTCGTTTTCACAAAAAAAATATTTTTTGGCAAATTTAAGAAAGTTTAGTCATTGTTTTGTTAATAATATGCATCAATGAACACGGTTAAAGAACTAGAAACAGTTGACACGAGACTAGCTTTAGTATATCTAATACTAAAGCTAGTCTCGATATTCTACATTCTACATTAGATCGATATTCTACATTTCAGATGGGTGCACGATGTTTCGGGACCACGACGTTTCGGGACCTGACTAATACGACGTTTCGGGACTAGCAACAAGACGGTTCGGGACTTGGGTAAAGACGATTCGGGACTTGAGTTAATTTTTTTCGGGATCTAAACAAATTATTTTATTATGTTGATATAGCATATTATTCTAATTACATATAGTACGTAATATTTCAAGCTATATCCGAATTTTATTTTTATGTATATATATAATAAAAATTGTCATAAAGATATACTTTGATGGGGTTTTATTCATAACAGACGAAGAAGAATAAATCTTTACAATATTCATTTTTATTTCTTTTTATTTTTTTATCATTTTTTTTATTAGTTATTTTTTCTTGTGTGTGTGGTGATGGGGAGGGGGGGGGGGGCAAAATTTAATCTTCTCAGGTTGATGATAGATATTTTAAAATATTCAAGTGATCTCCAGCTACCGTCGAATATATCTTTTAAAAACATATCAGTAAATTGTTAAAACAACAACTGGGATCAGGTACACATATCTCAACTGATACTCTGTACATAGGGAGGTGTTACGTACATGTATAAAGACGCCGCCGGTAATGGGAACTAAAAAGATTGTGTGGTTTCTTTTGAAATTATTTTAAGAAAATAAAAATCTAAAAATATGGAAAAAATATCGTTTGTTTATTGGTAAATGAAATAACTCAGAATCAAACAATAGTTCAACAAAATATAAAGGTTTTCAAAATGTTTTGATCTTGATTTTGTCTACCTTTTCCCAAACGGTTTCAAATATTTTTTCCCCAAAAAGTTTTGGCATAGTATCTGTAAGATTCTTCCCTGGAAATGTTACGAAAACATTTTTAAAGTTTCCAAAACATTGTAAATAAACATATTTTACAAATGTTGCGAGAACATTGGCCCTAAATTTAAAAAAAATACCATACTTATAAAAAAAGCATTAAATGGTATAAACAACATGATTTCATTTGATATCGTTTCAAATAATGTCTTTAAAAACATTTTAAATTTCATCATAGCTTTATCTATTTAATGTGGCAAGGTGGAAATTTGAAATGTAAGTTGACCTGTTAACGTAGTCAATGTGGAATGTCTTTTAAACACTTTTACAGCATGAAAAATTTAATATTTGCAAATTAAATAATATTTAGTATTTATTTACAGTATTATTTAAAGTTTGTCATGTACCTAACTATGTAACACCACATATAATATTACGCACTGGTCGGGTATATAAGAAGATCGATAATTGAGTTTCATTGAGATTTGTAGTCTGTGTATACAGAGTAAACATAAATTCAGACATCCATATCATTGTAGACAAATTAACAATTTTGATAGTACAATAATATATAGCGGGAATATTTGGGACTTTGGTGGGAATAATTTTTTTTCTAATTAAAATAAATGAATAAAATCGATTACTTTCATCATTTTTCTTAAGCTATCGAGTACATGTACTTTGCATAGACGAAGAAATTGTCTAACTTTGAAACGTTAAGATGAAAAATAAGTTAAACGTGTTTATATTTTGAAAATTAGTAAGTTTGGTTTATTTACAAATGTTGCATACATGGTATATATATACACATCATACTTTCAGTAAAAATTACTTTACAAGCTGTTCTTTGACGTTATATATATTTGAAAAGTCAAATACATGCTGATTTTCTTACCCATTTCGTTTTTTTCCTTCTCTGCTTAACGTATACATGGATGTGTAGGAAGTTTATAGCTTAAGTTATAACATTTCTCTTACCCGTAACATTTTGAATAAATTTGCTTTTATGATCTTGTTGCATATATAACCTGAAATAATAATTATAAATTTTATACATTGATGTTTAAAATGTTGAACATGGAATATTTCAGATTCTGATTCAAAACAACTACCCGTAAAACGTGAAGTTTTTACTGCACATGTGCTAGCTTGAGCCTTTGTAAATTTTGTAAACAAATATGAAATCAAATACCTAAAATTTTTATTAAAAAGGAGAGAAAGAAAGTCTTAGAAAGAAAAACACGTCCGTGGTCTTCACACAGCAGTTACGATTGTCTCCCGGCTTTAATTCTACAAACTCTCGTATCAAACACTATAAATAAATCAAATACATATTTTAAAAAAAAAAATTAATTAAATTTTGGTCAAATGTTAACCAAATACTTTATAAAGGTAATATATCAAATACTGTAATAAGAAATTAAAGAGACAACACCCGGGGTTTGATTTTCTCGGCAGGCGTGCTCCATGCCGCAGGCAAACTTTAAAACTAATAAAAACTCCAATCAGTGCTTCTTAAATTATAAATTGTGTATCAAACTGAGAAATTATACATGTATAAATATAAAAACACAAGTAAACAAGTTTTATTTCATTTCCTTTACAAAATATTTAGAAGTCCCGAAACGTGTTAGCCCAAGCCCCGAAACGTGTTAACCCAAGTCCCGAAACGTGTTGTCAGGTCCCGAAACGTCGGGGTCCCGAAACATCGCGGTCCCGAAACATCCATAATTCTTTCAGATAACCCATCCGAAATTCCTCTGACCCCCTGACTTGTTTTGTTTTTCAGCCAGTGTTGTATTCCTATTTTAGAAGCTCTTGTACATGGAGAGTAAGAATAGGTAATTTTTTTAATCAAGGAAATTTGTATTCTCTAGAACTGTTACATTGTGCAAGGATTTACAGAATTGATGAAATGGTGCTGCAGAAGTCACGGGGTGCGTCGATTTACCCAAATGGACCCAAATGGAACCAAATGGAACCCAAATGGAAATCCAAATGGACCCAAATGGAAATCAAATGGACCCAAATGGAATATTAAACATATATTATTGTATTTTCAAGTAGTTACTTATTTAAAATGATGAAAATAATGAACTTGCAAATGGAGAATATTAATTATTCATTTCTAATATTGTATTTTAAAATTAAAATGAATTAATCTTTATTTCTATTTGTAATAACTTTTGCATATCATTGTATACAAAACTGAAGTATTTCATATTAAAGTTTATATAGAATTCATGGCAGGAGGAACCGGGTTGGGGGGGGGGTGTGCGGGGGCCTGTGCCCCCCCCCCTCCTCCAATAATTTTGCTGATCTAAAGAATACTAAAGAAAATTAATTCGTATTTTTAAAATACAATATTAGATATGAATACTAAATATTCTCCATTTGTAAGTTCATTATTTTCATTTTAAATAAGTAACAACTTGATAATACAATAATAAATATTTCTATTTGTATATTTAATATTCCATTCGGTTTCCATTTGGGTCCATTTGATTTCCATTTGGGTCCATTTGGATTTCCATTTGGGTCCATTTGAGTCCATTTGGGTCCATTTGGGTTCCATTTGGGTCCATTTGGGTAAATCGACGTACCGGAAGTCACCGATTTATTAAATCACATTGGTCAGACATCTAGATACATTCAGTAAACTGATTTCATTTGTTGAAGTAGGGAATTGTTTATTAAAGAATCAGTCATGCTTCTGCATACATACGCTAGAGAGGTTTAATGCTATAGAATGCTATAGAACTGCCAAGAGTTTGCTACTGTCATTATATGACTGTAATAGGATATTATAAATGGTTAGGAATCAGTATTGAATGTAGATCCAAAGAACACCCAATAAATCACCATCATAAAACAACAATAAAGCATTTGTTCAATATAGGTTTGCTCTATGCATTGACTCTATAATATATAGAGAGTGATCTGATTCATTAAAATTGTTTATTTTAGCCCTCAATATCAAGGGCATACAGTATGAATACAGAGCAGTGAATCTAATCAAAGATGGAGGAATGCAGGTATGTATTAGGCCAAACAAAAAAATATGTGTGGTTCCGGTTACACCTCCAAAAAAATTAGGTAGGTAGGGATTTTTTTTTTTTTTTAACAAAATGATTTTCTTAATTTTTCTAAATAATACTTATCACCAGTGATTCATTTTGGTGTGCGTCCTGCGTAAATTACGCACAAATTTTGCTCAGGACGCATTATTTCAATAAATGTGCATCCCAATGGACGCAATAAATTTATAGAAGAACATGTACTATTTTAAACTATTTTGGTATAATTTGATTCAAAACTTGACCGATTGCATCATATCCACGTGCTAAGTGATATGCTGCACGCATGAACGATTTCAACAGGTATAAGGTTGTCAACAACAGGTCAGATTTCACAATTGCAGTTAATAAGCAATTATCAGAAAATATTTGAAAGTTAGATAGCATAGCTCGATTATCACTGATTATGTCTATACCGTGGAACGTTTATGAAGTGAATACTATACCATGCTATGCCTTTGTATTTAAGCTGTTTTTTTTTCGTTTTTTTTTTTCCTTACAAGTTAACAAGTATAAAATTTAATCATTTTTATTTCTGACTATTTGTCATTTCTTCTTAAACTTTTTTTTTACTTCATTCTGCTTCTGTGCATATTATGACTGATACAATTTGTGAGATCGTATGTACGATCTGAAAATAGAACCAAAGTGCACAGTGGACA